GTATAGTGCCAAGAGGAAACAGTACAAACATCTACATTAAAAACCATAACCTACAACAGTGTATAGTGCCAAGAGGAAACAGTACAAACATCTACATTAAAAACCATAACCTACAACAGTATATAGTGCCAAGAGGAAACAGTACAAACATCTACATTAAAACCATAACCTACAACATTGTATAGTGCCAAGAGGAAACAGTACAAACATCTACATTAAAGACCATAACCTACAATAGTGTATAGTGCCAAGAGGAAACAGTACAAACATCTACATTAAAGACCATAACCTACAACAGTGTATATTGCCAAGAGGAACCTACAACAGTATACAGTGCCTAGAGGAAACAGTACAAACATCTACATTAAAAACCATAACCTACAACAGTATATAGTGCCAAGAGGAAACAGTACAAACATCTACATTAAAAACCATAACCTACAACAGTATATAGTGCCAATAGGGAATGTGATGATGTATCAAGGTTAAGATCCAGTAGAAGTAACACATGACAGATGGTGTCTGGCTTATGGGCTATAATCATGTGAGGATACAAATTTCTTTTGTAAAGAAGAAAACTTTACAGAAAGTTATTTAGAGAGGGTGGGATGAGTTGGTGGAATTAGATATATTCCATGGTACAAACCAGGAGTCATTAGCTCAAGGTCATAGCAGGGGTAAACTATTATCTGTTCCAACTTATTTCACTGCCTTTAAACCAGATTTGTCTGCTACGCTATTATATTTTCTTTATTTTGGGGGCAAATGTAGCTGTAGACCAAAAAATAAAAAGGATGTTCTATGTTAATGTCCAAAATCTATTTACTTATCAAATTTAACCTGGGCATACAACCTCCATAGTCAGTTTAGCTAAATTTACACTTAATCTTGATAAAAATAAGTCTTATTTCTCATTCTATAGAGAGATTAAACTCTTTGATTTAAAATTATTCATATGAGATAAGAACATAAATTTTTCCACTGCATTTTTACATCTTTTTATTCAAAGTTTAAGCTATCTAAATAAGCTCAATAAATCAAACGTTTTATTGAAGTTATACCAACTTTCGAATATTGATTTTACCCAGACATATTAATCCAACTTATTTTAAAAAAAGTCTTTACAGAGCTATGATTCTGCAGTTGATGATACAAAAAATTACTTAACAGAGATAGAAAGAAACAGATGATTAACAATTCCAAATATTATAAAAACATTAATTAAGATCCTACACAGTGCTACAGGAAAAAAAAGATGTAATACACTTTACACAATTATTCTAAAGAATGAGATAATCATAGAAAACCTTGTATTGCAGAGATATATGATCCATATAAAACACATATGGTTAAAACCTATGATGACCTTTTCTGTTTGTTTGTTGTTTAGCATAAAACTCATTATGAGTGATCTGTGCTTTGCTCACAGCAGGTACTGAAACCCAAGTTTTAGCATTGTAGTCCCTCAGACTTACCATTGAGCCAGTGGGGACACTTTTTGTTTTTGTAATGTTACTGAGGGTACAATATTTTTACAATTTGAGTTAACAGTTTGGAAAGTTTTGAATACTTTATTAGACAGTTAAATATCTTTCTTCCTTGAACTTCACATATAATGTAGGTAAACCAGTTAATGTAACTGTGGAGATTACAGTTTATAGAAAATTCAATGGGAGATAAAAATATAATTCTCTGTCCTTAAAATGATAAAGAGTATACATGTAGACTGAGAAGATAAAAGTATACCTTTAAGAGTAAAAATATTTTGCCCATGCTCAGAAATACAATTAAGAATTTTTTTTAGCAATGTGAGAAATTTCATAGTCTTTAATAATGATAAATACCCTCACAGTTTTCTGATCAAAATTGTAACCAAGGTATTACTTATGACAAAGCAAGAATTAGCAGCAGGTTTCTACTTACAATACACTTTACTTACTTAGTTTAATAAACTAATAACCCACGAGATTTTTTAACTGATCACTCTGGCTGTCAGATGATCACACACCTTAGTGATGGATTTTACTTGTTTTAACTTTTTTTAATAAAATAAAGATTCATATCCTTACAAGTTCAAACCTGTGAAACCTACCAAACACATTATTCATCGAACAACAAATGAAACTATTTATATTTATGGTTTTTAAGCATTTTTTCCCTACTTGTCATGTTTGTGTCTGTAAAATTTAGCTGATATCAAATATAATTGTGTTAAACCTGCCAAGGAGATTACTTTTGAAATACTTTCCTGCTGCTGCTACAAACAAGTTTCAAAAAGTTGGCACCAAAGTTGTTATTCTTTGTTTTGATCATTGCAACAGATGCAGTAGCCCAACTATTACGTCTCAAATTAATGTATTTATAGATGTTGTTTCTTTTTATAATTATCCAACACATGGCCTGCACTCTGACACAACTCTAAATTTTGGTCACAGTTATCTCTCTTTATTATTATTTACTGTTTATGATAAATATCTTCCCACAAAAATGTTATATTCCTTTTTTTTGGTATTTCTGCTCAGTTTTGTGTTTATTTATTTTTTACTTACGAATAATATACCTTATCAGCTATGTATTTTTATGCCTATTCAATTGATGATTCATCCTTTGGTTATTTTGTACAAGGCAACTACGTTTACTAAGTTTCTTTACTTGCCAACTGCTAGACATTGTACTATAGGGACCAGGAGTGTTGTGCTGATGGTATTTTAAAGGAAACAGATTGAAAATGAGTATTTTATATATAATAATATTTTGATGATGGTGTACCTCAAAGTTATATAATTCTAAACAAGAAAACACAAACATTTACTTTTTAAACTACCAACAAACTAAGATCCAGAAGATGTTGGCAATCATTTTAACTATTTTTTGTTGTGAAAACTCACCCTGGAATGTGGTTTTACAAAGCTCAAGGTCTTACAAAAAGGCTCAGATTTCAACTTTAAATGTGCAACTCCAACAAACCTTTATCTTTGTCCAGAGGAGGAAGCATGCTTGTATCTTGGCAAACTTTGAAGTAAATCTCCTGATCACTTCCTTGAGGCAGTGCTCCTGGTGGAATAACAATCTGGACTCCTGTTTCTTCTGATGTAAGAGTTCCTCCAATGTGGTTGAATGTCCCATGTGCTGTAGCAACAACTCTGTGACTGCTATCTGTGGAACCAGAGGACAGTTGCCTATTGACGAAAGCAGATTCATATACTTTAAATAAAATTATTGTGGCAGAGAGATGAAGAACCAATAGAAACACATAAGGAGGAGCTCTGGATTAACTAGAAAGAATGTTAGTGTAGATGGCATGCTTCTCCAAGTTTCCAAAAGTGTCAAGTTATATTAAATGTCAGTAAAGTAGTGAAGTATTTCATTAATTTTTTTAAACATTTAACAATCAATAAGTTGTAATGATACCACCTTTAAAAGTAATAGCTTTTACATACCTTGAGGGTTCAGATGATGGAAAATTGTCTTGCTCATGAGACAAAGAATCTGGTTTTTTGTACAGTTCAAATGCACTACCATGATTTTCTGTATGAGAAAGATCCAGAAAACCAGGAGGTGGAGGTGGAGGTGAAGAGTCATACTGATCTTTAGTTTCTGATTTATAAGAGTCAAATGGAATATTCTGGTATGATCCATTCATAAAAATGGAAGATGGTTCATTTATTCTAGTTTTCCCTGCTTTTGTGTAAGACTGTAAGCCATTACTATAATTACAATTTGTATAAGTTCCTCCTCTTGAATCAAATTCTATATTAGTTTTCTCTTCCTCTCTTTTACTTAGTAGTGAAACAGGTTTTTCCCGTATGAATCTAAGAGGTGGTAGAGGGGTGTGAGAATGTTCTGAGTCTGAATAATGAGGATAAATCCCTTGTGGTGGTTTATAAGCTGATTGATCTGGATTGTTGTATTTCCTGTAGTAAAAATTATCCTGATAGTTTTTATTTCTTATTCCATCTGTCAGAGGGTCATCTTGCCTCCATGGTATGTTCTGATAATTATTAGGAGGAATTGCCCTGCTACTAGTGGGCGCCCTGCAGGAAAATATATTGTTACTTTTCCAGCATAGTTGCAAGAAGCAAAATATAATGCTGTACCACACTTTTTAAATAAATTCTTTCAAAATTAATCAGATGGCCTGTATATTATATGGAAGTAAATTTAAATTACAACAAAAGAATAAATCCGCAAATGTTAATATTTTCTATAAAATTGTAAACCAACATTTATGAATAAAAGATAAGTTCTTATATATAAATCCCTGAAGAAGTCATGTGGGTACAAAAATGAGATAAATCACAAAATACAAAACCAAATAACTCAAGCATTTTGAAAGCACTCAGATTAATGGATTTCTTATTTGTGGTTCATATAAAAGTAATTATTACACAAGTTGATATATTTTAGACTTCTTAAAAGAAAACTAATCTTTGACGTATGGCCTAACTCCATCTATTAGAAATTGTCATTAACAAAAAAATAAGATAAATCTGAGAAGATCCTACAAATGTCTGAAGGATGAATAAAGAAGAAGCAAAATACTTTGTAATGATTTTGAGTATTTATGCTGGAATCTGATGATTTTTAAAGCTATATATAAAACATGATTAGCATTTTGGGGTTCATCTGACCTTACCTAGAGCCAAAATGCATGGGTTTAGGAGGTGGAGAAGGTGGCTGGTTTTCTTCTGATGAACTAAAATATAAAAAAATCTTGATATAAAATGGATAATATATATTTCTTGTGTAAGACTGAAAGAGCCAGATGAAATGATGTAAGAGCTGTCTTTCAAAAAGTAATTGATAAAGATAATAAAGAGTAATATATATAAAAATAACAAAATTATATAATATTGGTGAAGGTGATAATTGCTTCAAAAAGAAAAACAGATATATAGGTCAAGGTGGTGACAATATAGTACAGAATAACACAGAAAACTTAGAAAATGTATAGTAAAATAAGATATTAGATAAAAAGATTTGTGTTTAATGATTAAAACAATAACAATATAATATAGGAGAATTATAGAGAGACAGTTTGTATTTTTAACATGCCTCCAAGCAAAAATGTTAGAACCAGCAATATACAATAATAATAACTCATATCTAAATATTTCCTGTGGAAGTTTCACAATACAAATTCATAATAATGATAACATATTTCTTGTGGAACATCATAGTACAAATAAACAATAATAACAAGTATTAGTTAAATATTTTCTGTGAAAATATCATAATGCATATACAGTTCAATATTTAAACTAAAATACAGTTTTATTAATCTGTTAACAATAAAATAAATGAACCATATTTTATATATTTATTAATTTTGTTTATGTGATTATTAGTATTATTTCCAATCAATTCTTGATAAGAAAAAATTCCATACACCTTTTTTCTGGAAAGTATTTTATCTCCAAACTTTAATTTAAAAACTATAATTTTCTTTCACACTTATTATATGGGGTGTTTTTTTATTATCTATGATGGTCTATTATTTTGTTTCCATGTTCTACAAATTTCATTTTTGTTCATAACCAAGTTATTGGAGCAAAAGAAGCCCACAGCAGTAGATGCAGTAACTTTGCTGGAACCACAGCACCTTGTTGTGTTGACTTCATATTACAGTAACCCACAATAAATGGGGCCACATCCATAAAAGTCATACACAGTTTGTGCTAACTTAGCTAATGATGTGGATGGAGAGATGTCTTGGTTCACAGAATGACAGAAGAAATGTTTGCTACAGGTGAAGATAATTTGGTTATTTCTGCCATAGGTGTCCTTTCCCAATGCTTATACAGGAGTCCAAATATCTTCCAAATAGACCAAGTAATCAGCAATAGGCTCAAGGAAAAAAACAGGTGTGGATGCTAAGTTAAACAATATTTTCCTTGCAAATAGTGAATGTAAAACTTCAATGCTACATCACTGGTATTACTATATGTAGTAGGTTTGATAAAGTAACTTATCTAATTTTTTATGGGGTAGCTGTATTGTATCATACTTCACCTTATGTATAGAGGACTGTGTTGTGATTTTTACACTGGAACAGAGACACTTCTGGATTCTTGTGATTTATTTTCCTTTTGGTCAGCTACAGAAAGATGGTGATTTGTGAATGCAACTTTGGCAGTCTCAGAAAAATTGTTTTCAATCTATCAGGAAAGCATACTCATGTCTAAAAGAGCCAATATTCTGTAGTAAAGTTTGTTTGTCTTACTTTGCTCTGCTACCAACCTTGCATCTAATTGTTTGTGTTTATCCAGATCAGTCTAATCATTCATCAATGAAACTTCATTTTTACTTTCTTTAATGAAATACACTTTTTTCTCTTATTCTTTTGTATATTTGTTATTTTATTATACTTCATCTAGTAATAGTCCTTTCCAATAAACAATCACCTTTTTCATCTTCAGTTCATCTCCTTCATGGTTAAAGTATTTATTTAATAAACAATCACCTTTTTCATTATCAGTTCATCTCCTTCATGGTTAAAGTGTATATATCAAACTGTGTCTTATCAAGTATTAGTACTGTACTGTACTACTGTACTTTTAGATGATGCACATAAGTAAAAGCATGGGTCTTTGTGATGAGTATTAGCTTGCAATAAATATTATGATCCAAAATAAATTTGATTACAAATTGAATGAACGAATGAATTATTTCTGTGAAACGAGAGTGCATTATAACAATAAAACTTTCACAAAGTAAACTGAAAGCAAAACAAAATTTAAAATCACATATTAATAATTATTCTTTACAGAAATAGCTTGAGCAACTTAAACATACAAAGCAACCATTTTCATGCGAGTCAATAGATTTCTTATGAGAGTTTTATCTTTCTTGGAGAGGGGGTTAGAAGTTCTGAATGGAGATCATTGCATTACTTGGGAGAGTTTTATTTTTCTCTGAGAGGGTTTAGTGTATTACAGAAGATATGATTTAATATATGGTTGTGTTTGCTAAAGTGAAGAAGTACCATGTGACTCAAGGTACACACCTGGTTTTCTAATTGTATATTTACTACTTTAAGGAATCAAAACTTTGTGATAAAGAACATAAAAGTCAAACTCAGGCTTACTTAATTCTGGAATGAAGTTGGTGTGTAGAAAGATCAATGTTTCCATGTCTGGCAGTAGGATGTGCAGTGTCTTTGGTGAAATGATGAAGATCATGTAAGGCCCTGACATTCTGGCTAGTAGTCAGAGTAAATCTTTCAGGTGATCTACCGTATTGCTTAAAAATAAAAAATTATATTAAATTCATAAATTTAAGTTGAATAAAATCAAAATCATGATACCACTTATGAAACCATAACAGGAATTAGAATTTATTATTATTATTACTAAGTTTAATTTATATTCCTGCAATTAGAAGTACAACTTGATATTGTGCAATGGCATAGATTATATATTGTCATTATTTTATATCTGTGGAACAAATATTAATTATTTCAAGAACTTCATTTAATATTTCATTTGGAGGCTTCGTATTTCAGTTATACACAGCACCTTGAAAAATCTAAAACCGATCATAAGACCAAGTAACTCAACAAAGGCAACTACACACACTATCATGTCATAAACACACTTTGAAAATAATCATTTGGACTCCATTTATACATAAACACACTGGTGAAATGACTAAATTATATTGGTTGTATAAGTTTTTGGTGTGTATAATGATGTATAATAAACATAGTGATGAAGTGGATGAATTATAATTGTTGTGCATAGTGATGAATATATAAACACACTGGTGAAGTACATAAATTATATCATTATTCAAGTTCGTATAATGCATAGTTATTTGACAAAGGCATTTACACTTTGGTTAAAATTCGTTTTTATCAAATGTTAAACAGATTAATTCTACATTCAAAACATCAAATAACAGGAGATTTTGTTTCTTTATTTAAGAGCAAAGCCACATTGGGTTATTTGGTGTGTCCACTGAGAAGAATCAAACCATGGATTTTATTGTTTTAAGTCCATAAACTTTTCACTGGTGGACTAACAGGAAAATTAAATGTATTCTTTAGGGTTATTTGGTGTATCCACTGAGAAGAATCAAACCATGGATTTTATTGTTTTAAGTCCATAAACTTTTCACTGGTGGACTAACAGGAAAATTAAATGTATTCTTTAGGGTTTTATGCTTTTTAATAATCAGAGATAAGCATAAAGCATTCTGCTCTGATTGGGGCATGAACAAAATTGATGGTTCGCACTAGTGCTATGAGACCAATGTTCTTAATGGCACTTAAGTCAAATGCAGTCAATTTCCACTTAGTTCATTATATATAAGATATTAAAAGAAAAATTCTTCCTTATGATTTAAAAATAACCTTACTGATGTCATTTTGGATCTGTCCACTGAAACAACAGGTGAGTCTCTGTATTCAGTTCTTCTTCCTAGAAATAACACCAATAACAAAAAAAAAGGAATTAGATGAAAATGTCTTAAATACTCAAAGTAAAAAGGTTAAAGAAAAATATAATCCAATATAATTGCTGACTCAAGAATATTCACTACTTCTTTTCATTCAATTTCATTACAAGATTAAGTGTGTTAGTGTAAAGCATTACTTTGGTCATGTCTTCTCTGATGTTTCAAAATCTCAAGCTACCTAAATACTAGTAGCTTTATATATATCTGATAATTACCAAATGAAATTATAGATATATATTTTTACCTTAGTATCAGACAATTTAAAAATTTTTTTATTTATTATACCTTCTATTTGTAGTTTCAAGATTAACATTATGCACACAGCAATAGTGTTATAGGAAATACACTACAAAAGTAGCAGCATTATGTGCAGAGTAAAAGTATTTTATGAAAATACACTTCAAAAGTATCAACTTTATGGTCACAATCAAAGTGTTATGTAAATACACTGCAGAAGTACCAATGTTAATAAATATAGTTTTAAAAATACACAATGAAGATTAATTTCTTATTCACTGTATTGAGCTATAATGAAAACATAATTAGATCATCAATTTCTGTGTAATCAAAAAAAAAATTATTACTTTAAAGAGTTTTAATCAAAAATCAGCTTTGTGTAATTTAACCATTACATATTTTTATTAAGATCTTCTGATCAAAAGCAAGTCAATTATATAGCTCAGAACAGAATAAATTAAATAGTAACTCATACATTATTGAAGATAATCTTTTATAGCAAACTGACAAGAAACACTATTTGATATTGTGGTAGTTTGAGTTAGTAAAAAATGCCAGTGGGTTAACCCTCCAGCTAAGTTAATATAACATAATGTTTTGGGACAACATGGGACCTATTGGTCCATCTCAGCTGTTCCATCCTCTAAACTAAATTAAAATAATTAACAAAAAAAAATTTAAAGCCAGTGCTTATCATCATATACTTATCAAGCTTTTCCTTAAACTCACTTAAATTTACTGCCTCTACAGCATCTGAAGGCAACCCATTCCAAAGGCCAACCACCCTGTTATAAAATTGAAACTGTCTTAGCTGAAGATGACTCCTACCTTGCCAAAAGTTATATTTTTGTACCCTAATCCTACTATTCTCACTGTTAGATAAGAAAAAGAATGATGCATCAACACCATCAATTCCCTTCACAATCTTAAACACCTCACTCAGATCCCCCTAACTCTACTTTTTTTCAAGAGAAAACAATTTGAGAGATTTCAGTCTCTCCTCATATGACAACTCCTCCATACCAGGCATCATTATAGTAACCCTTCTCTGAATCCTTTCCAACAATTCAAAGACTGAACACAATAATCCAAATGTGGCCTAATCAGTGACCTGTACAATGAAATTATAACATGTTTAGACTTGTATTCAATATTTCTGTACATACAATCTAAAATCCTCTTTGCCTTACTACTAGCAACAGTTCACTGCTTAGATGGTTTTAGAGACTGATCGACTTTACACCAAGATTCCTTTCCTTCATAATACTGTTAAGGTTATTCCCATCCACATTATATTTATAATTGAAATTATGATAACCCACATGCATTATCTTGTAATTATTATAATTAAAACCCATCTGCCATTTATTTGACCAACTTTTTTAAATCAGCGGCGTCCTCTTCACAGCTAGCAACACCCAAGACCTTAATATCATCTGCAAATTTAAGTAATTTATTGACTATTCCTTCATCATTGATGTAAATGAAAAAGAACAAAGATCCTAAGACTGAGCCCTGAGGCCCCCCACTTGTAACATAAATACAGTTTGACTGAACTCCATTTGTAACAACCCTCTGCATTCTTCCATCCAGCCACTCTTCTATCCAATTTGCTAACTTATCCTCCACACCTATAGAGATATTTTCAAAAGCCTTTTATGTGGCACCTTGTCAAATGCTTTCTGACAATCCAGATACACCAAATCTACAACCTTATCCTCATCTACATAAGCAGTAACCTTTTCAAAGAATGTCAAAAGATTTGTAAGGCAAGATTTTTCCTTTAGTGAAACCATGCTGACTATCCAAAAAAAATTCTAAACCAGTGGGTTAACCCTCCAGTTAAGTCAGTAAAAAAAACTAGTGTGTTAACCCTCCAGGTAAGTTAATAAGCAGTTCTAGTGGGTTAACCCACCAGGTAAGTTAGTAATGACTACAAGTGGGTTAACCATCCAAATAAGTTAGTAAAAAATACTAGTGAGTTAACTCTCCAGCTAAGTTAGTAACAAGTATTAGTGGGTTAACCCTCCAGCTAAATTAGTTAAAAATAGGAGTGAGTTAACCCTTCAGGTAAGTTAGTGAAAAAAATACTATTGGGCTAATTCTCCAGCTAAGTTAGTAAACAATTCCAGTGGGTTAATCCTCCATCTAAGTTAGTAAATATACCAATTGGTTAACCCTCCAGGTATGTTAGTAAAGAAATTTCAGTGGGTTAACCCTCTGGGTATGTCAGTAAAAATACTAGTGGGTTAACCATCTAGCTACGTTAGTAATAATAACAGTGGTTTAACCCTCCAGGTAAGTTAGTAAAAAAATACCAGTGGGTTAACCCTCTGGGTATGTCAGTAAAAATACTAGTGGGTTAACCATCTAGCTAAGTTAGTAAAACATATTAGTGGGTTAACCCGCTAGCTAAGTCAGTAAAAATACTAGTGGATTAACCTTCTAGCTAAGTTAGTAAACAATTCCAGTGGGTTATACCTCCAGGTAAGTTAGTAAAACATATTAGTTGGTTAACCCTCTAGCTAAGTTAGTGAAAATACTAGTGGGTTAACCTTCTAGCTAAGTTAGTAAACAATTCCAGTGGGTTATACCTCCAGATAAGTTAGTAAAAAGGACCAGAGGGTTAACCCTCCAGGTAAGTTAGTAAAAAAATACTAGTGGTTTAACTCTCCAGCTAATTTAGTAAAAAATACAAGTGAGTTAACCCTCCAGGTATGTTAGTAAGAAATACTAGTGGGTTAACTCTCCAGCTAAGTTAGTAAAAATACTAGTTAGTTAACCTTTCAGCTAAGTTAGTAAAACATACTAGAGGGTTAACCCTCTAGCTAAGTTAGTAAAAATACTAGTGGGTTAACCTTCTAGTTAAGTTAGTAAAACTACTAGTTGGTTAACCTTCCAGCTATATTAGTAAAACATACTAGTGAGTTAACCCTCTAGCTAAGTTAGTAAAAATACTAGTGGGTTAACCTTCTAGTTAAGTTAGTAAAAATACCAGTTGGTTAAAATGCCAGTGAGATTAAATTCTCCAGCTAAGTTAGTAAAAAATACTAGTGGGTTAACCCTCCAGCTAAGTTAGTAAAAATACTAATGAGTTAACTCTCCAGCTAAGTTAGTAAAAATACCAGTAAGTTAATCCTCCAGCTAAGTTAGTAAAAAATAATACAAGTGGGTTAACCCTGCAGGTAAGTTAGTAAAAAAATACTATTGGGTTAACTCTCCAGGTAAGTTAGTAAAAAATACCAGTGAGTTAACCCTCCAGGCAAGTTAGTAAGAAATACCAGTGGGTTAACCCTCCAGGTAAATTAATAAAACAATAATAATGGATTAACTCTCCAACTAAGTTAGTAAAAAATATTAGTGGGTTAAATCTACAGGTAAGTTAGTAAAATACTCACTTGAAGTGCAAGTTCAAATCATATAAATTACCACCACAAGACTCAATGTAGCAGAAACTTAAATCTATAATGATTAGAATGTATTGAACTATCAAGTGGTTACCTTCTCTGTTAACAATATTTTTGGCACTACTTCAAACACAGTTTCACAAGTTTTATTCAGCTTATAAAACTTAGGTTAGTCCTAATTTCATATACCAAGCAAACTATTTAAAATTTACCCATGCTTGCATTCATTTGAGGTTTATTGTTTCTGTCTATTTCTGGTGGTGGCTTTGGCTCAGGCAGTATGTCTTTAGCTAGGCAAGACCAAAACAAGGAATCTTATTTGTTATTTATTTATTTCCTAAACGTGGTTTCAATAACATAAAAAACAACAACAACAAATGTTCATGTGGAAAATTAAAAAAATCTGTTTGATTCTCTGAAATTATATAATAGGACAGACTATCACTTACATAATATGTGCTTAGCTAGAAGCATTCAGCAACATCATGGTCTGAATCTAGAATCTACAGCTGAGAATGCTAACCACTAAATGGTTATATAATGGTTAAATGCAACCAGTGAGTAGATGTTTCTGATGTTCCTATAGCATGATATGTGTAGATTGGGCCTATTTTTTAATGAATTGAATAAAATGCAACCAGTGAGTAAATGTTTCCTGATGTTGCGACCGTAGGATATGTGTAGATTGAGCCTATATTTTATTATGTGGGTAAAATACAATCACTGAGTAGGTGTTTCCTAATGTTGCTACAGAAATATATGTGTATATTGGGCCTGTTTTATATTATGTGGATAAAATGCAGTCAGTGAGTGGGTGTTTCCTGATGTTGCTTCAGAAAGATATATATAGATTGGGCCTGTTTTATATTATGTGGATAAAATGCAGTCAGTGAGTGGGTGTTTCCTGATGTTGCTTCAGAAAGATATATATAGATTGGGCCTGTTTTATATTATGTGGATAAAATGCAGTCAGTGAGTAGGTATTTCCTGATATTGCTACAGAAAGATATGTTCAGATTGAGCCTGTTTTTTTATTTTAGACAGTAAAGAGAAACAGTACAACTCTATTTGCAGGGAAATTTGAAGGGAACTTTGTGACATTTCTTAGCATTTGTTTGGCCAGAAAAACACATTAAAAGTTGCTTTGGAAAAGTAGTATGTTCCTTTATTAAGAATTATTTAATGGACTTTTCAGTTTTGGTGGACACAAGTTATTTATAAACGTTTATTTGAGATCTTGAAGCTTACTATACACATAATGCAAACAATGTCCACTTGATTTTATAAAACTCATTTATTAAATTGAACTTCTTGAGTTCTTTTGTAATTACAAGATTTTTTGTTCCTGGTTATTAGTTTTTGGTAGGAATAACAGATGCATTAGTTATAAGGTCATTCTAATTATATATTGAAAATGCCTGAGCTATATATTTGAAGTTTTGTTGATATAAAAGTGAATAAAAACAGTCATTCTAATAATATTTAATCATACTTCAGAAATACAAGGGCATATAAACATCCACAAATTCATAAAACTACTAAATTAAAACAGAAAACAATTTCCGATGAAAAATAGGAAAGAGGAAACAAGTTAAATGCAGAGAGAAGCTTAGTTACCAAAACAACTTTCACAACAGAAGTCTCTTTTTATTTTATCTATTATACATTAAAATACATTTAATGGCAGTTGATCTTATGATTTAAGTTTATTATAATAAAATCATTACAGAATATTTAACAAGGCAATAGAGAAATGACAGTTTCATAACTTAAACTTCATTGAATATATTATTCTTTGTTACTTTTCTTCTAAATACTTACCTGGATAATCTTCATTTAATCTTGTTCTATATCCTTCATTTGTACCATAGAAATCTACATTAGTCCTGTGATACATCAACTCATCTGTTTCATTCTGATCTACAAGGTTAAACATTTCTTGTTTGAGAGAAGGTTTAGACAGAAGATAGTATATAATTGAAAGGTGTTGTTAATGGACTATATCCATCTAGGAAGTTTGGGATGATGTTTCAAGCTGCTAGCAGCTGAAAACATTGCTCAAAACTTCCCAAACAGTTGTAGTCCATTAACAATGCCTTCAAAGGTATATATTAATTTCTTAGTATTAAAATGTGGGTTGGGGAAAGTATGTGTGCAAGGTTTTTACAAATTCATTGAAGGTTTATTGATATAAAGTCTTTAGATAAATTTTTCAATTACACACTTTTCAAGCTATAATTTTAAAGAAAAATAAACATAAGGTAAAAGATAGATCTGGGAGAGATTGAGTTGAATAGATCTGTGAGGGCAGAAAACATATTTTGATCAGAAACAGAATAATCAATTTAATAAAGGTGGTGAATTGGTTACATGACTTGAAAGTATGCCTTACTTTTTGTAATACACAGTAAGACAGCATATCTAGTTGTGCAGCAAAGTACAAAAAATCAATCCATTTATGGTCTTTTTTACTGAATGATCAGTGAGTAAGAAAGTCATTGATTTTGAAATAAGTCAAAGAGAGCATTAGACTTTACACTAGAAACTCTACTTACTAATCCATTCTAATATAATGAAATAGTCTACACACCTGGACTCTGTTTCAAGTTCTGTACCATCTCACCAGTATCTGCATAATTAACTTGTTCTCTTGGCAAAGCTATAATCTGAATTTGTCAAAACAGTATTAAGATATACACACATTTTACAACCAGTCAGCTTCCAATATAGTTGTCATGATATAAAAAACTATTTAGTTTAGATGTTACTGATTGATTTGTTTTTGTGAGTGAATATTTTATTATTATTTAGTTTTTGTTAAAATAAGAGTTAAAAGCAGATGATTGTAGGAGGTTTTTTTAACAATTCATTGATGTTGAGACTATTGAATGTCACAAACAATATGTTGATGTTGAGAATATAGAAGACAGACAAACGATTAAGCGATAAAGATATAAATAGTATGAGACGAGGGGGGAAAGCAGCAGAAAGTCAACAACAGACAGAAAATAGCAAAAGAGAATAAAGTTGGTGTGAAGTTAAGTACCGTAGAAGTGATAGGCCTAACATTTAATATGTTAGAGTAAAACTAACAGTGGAAAAGGAGATAAGAAAAATAATTTTATTCTGTCAAAGCATGGTTCTAAAGTAAGTGAATCAGCCTGAGTGCACTTTGATAAAAGGAACAGAGGATCTTCAGACAAAAGAAGACGAAATGATTACGGTAACTTGCACCACAATTGTAAGTGAATCACAGAGAATACTAGTGTGATAGAAATAGAAAATTTGGCTTGTCAACAGAAATTCTAAAGTAATTGAATAGGCCTAAGTGGATATTTGACAAGAAGGAGAGAACTACATATATAGTATCTATGATATACCCATAATGTCTATAATGTTGAAGAATTTATTGTACAAATTATATATTATTTGAAAACTAGTAAAGTGTGTGCTGTTTATTCATCATTGAATTTATCGCTACCAAGTCACAGCACCTATTGTAGAAGAATCCTAAGCCCAACAACAACATAGCATTTATTTATAATATTAACATATATAATTAAAAGACTTTTTATTTTGACAATTGGCAAAAAGAAGAATCTATATTTTTAAATTCTGACAATAGTAATATTACATATATATACACAACTATATCAATTTATCTTATATACTAATTACTAAAAATATTTGTTTCAACAAAAGTGTGATGATTATTAGAATTATTCATTTTGCAGGATGTCATGGTGTGATCACAATATTAATGAAGGACTACTCCACTAATTCTCATAAAACAACATTACATGTACAAAAAAACAAATTTAATGCATACAAAGCTTGAAAAAAAAATGATTATGAGGTTTGAGTGTTTCAAATGTTTTATTATATAAAATAAAAACTTATCTTCAAATGCAACAGAGATAGAATTATTAATAAAATTGTAAGTTTAGTATAAAAATTTATGTAAACCTAGCTTGGTAATCTAATAAACTAAAGAAATCTAGACATTAAATGTGAAATATTCTTCAAATACATGTAATTATGAACCAGTCAATAAGTATTACATCAATTAGGTTTGTTTTTTTATTACATGATGTTTTAATTTTTTCATCAACTAAAAATATATTTTAATTCTGTTTAGAAGTTATTCTGTGCTATGCATTGAACCATAAAGAGTGTATTTTCTATTAAATTATATCCCATTAAATGTTACTTTTTAAAGTATAAAAATGAAATAAAACAAATTTAAGGCCACATTTGATAAGAAAAACAGAAGTTCAAAATGCACAACATTGCATGGCTTATTAGTAAAAGTAAACAATAATTTCATAAGCTTCTCTTCACTTAAGTATTTGGAGTAGAAATGGAACATTTTGCAAAGAAAAACTACATATTTCAAATACATATCTAAGCTTTAAAGAAGTAGAGAACCCATCATCAATTCTTGGGCTACTATAGCCTGACCAAATGGTGGGGTTTCATCATCACCTTATAAGCTATCTTTATAAAAACAGACAAACAATGGACCTGCAGATCCATATTCCAGTTACTTTATGAATTAACCAGGCCAAAATTATTGCTAAGTGTGGATTGTGTAACATCTGGAAGATTTTAAATTTTTTAAAAATTTGCTAGAATAATAGCTAATGAGTAGAGCTTCAACTGTGTGAAGACAAAATATCAGTCACTTGTCTTACTGGGATTATTTAAAATTCTTTGTCCTTCCTTTGAATAAAATTTTCGATTTTCTAGCCTCCTATTATAAAGTGAAAATATATTTCAAGTACAATACTGCAGGTCTATGAGTATGTAACCAGGATGTAAAGTCTATTGAAAGAAAGTTATCAAGACAACAAAAGATAAAAGAAAGAAGAATATAAAGAAAACTAGGAGTGAAAAAAGGAAGGCCTTTCTAATTTGAATGAAAATGCTGCACTGAAATACCTATGTTTCTGGCCAGATTTACACCAAAAATAGCAATCAACTCTTTTAGACCAATGGCAACTAGCTTGAAAGTTGTATTAAAATCAGTTTCAGTTTTTGTGCTTCTTTTGAACTATTTAGACCCAAGTGTAAACTACAAAAAAATCAGAAATAAAAAATTAGTATCATTGGATCTGGTGATGTGAAAGTTTATCAGTACATTTTAGGAATTATAGCATGATTTCAGGGTTTAAATAAAATAAAAATAAAAGTATGATTTCCATCTTCCAGACCTGATGGTTAGGATGCTTTACTTGCTAAGTGTGGGTTATGAGGTCTAAAACTCAGCATTAAACATGCTCACTCTTTCAGCCATGGGGGACCTTATAATGTGATGGTCAATTCCACTATTTGTTGGTAAATAGTAGCTCAAGAGTTGATGGTGGGTGCTGCTGATTGATTGCCTTCTCTGTCGTTGGCAGTTCAGAATTAGAAATGGCAGCAGGTAGCCTTAATTAGTAGCTTTGCCAGAAACAGTTATTTTTATAAAAACGTTTTTTGTAATATTTAAAAAAAATATTAGTGTGATTATCAGTCAATTTTCAGATGAAAACTTAAATATATGCAAATCAACGTAAAAACAAAAATATCTCAGTGGCTAAAGAAATAATGAAGATACATCCTAACATTCATTTACTTTTCTAAGTAAGTGCAGATATGCCACAACTACTAATAAATGGGCAAATAATGTGATCCAGATTCATAACAGTATAAACATTTGTGCAAGACTGTACCTGTAAGTCCATTACTGATATTCAATAAACATTGTCATTATATAAACCAATTCTGTATTACATATTTTATCAATATTTTGATCAACAAGCACTCTGATTTATTAAAACAGCAATGAAATCCATTCAAGTGTTAGTGATCTTTAAAAGTATAGGTTACCTCTTCGAGCACTTCAAGGAAGTATTTATTTGATATATGCTGTCAGATAGCTTGAAATAAATGTCTTACCTGGTGTTGCTGCTGCAAAGAAGAATACCCAGAATTGTTCTTAACAACATCTAGGGTTTCTATGCTAGGATTAGTAAAAGGCTTCACTGATCTTAGGTCTGTACTAGTGGAATATATAGTCATCTCTCCTTCAGGACAATAGTCTGTTGTTAAATCAAGATCACTCTCAGGTGACGAAGCATAGTTTAGCCGTGATGGAAGAAGAAAGTCATCTGATATGTTGCTTTCAGGCTATCATAATGAAAAATATTTATATAAGTTCATAAATTTTAATATGAAATGTTACGTAGATTACACAGTAAAATGTCTCTTGAAAGTAGCTTATCCATTCATTGCTAAAAGAATAACATATTGTATAACTTTTTTCAATCCATAATTGAGGATCATTGATAACAATTTTGGATATTATGTTCTTGACAAAAATTTTTATTTCCAATATGACTTAAAATGTTAAAGCTTAAACGTCCACACAAAAAGTATATTGTATAAAAAAAATCACATTCAGTTCAATAGAAACAATTTACTAAATTAATAATGATTAGTCATATTAGTCAAGGTAAGAAACTAAGGAATTTTTCACTTGATACCTCTTTTTGCATTTGACTGGCACGACTAAATTATTGAGCTAAGTATATTTTATGATTAGTTATGCACATTTTCTAACTGATTTCTTTAAATATTGTACCTTTGAGTCTCCAACCCAAATGAATTCCTGTTGTTGTTTCTTTATGGTTTCAAGCAATTTCTTATACCAACTGTCTGCACTTGTAACAGTGATAGTTTCTACAAACATAAGATGGACAAACATTGTTTTCATACATTTTAGAAAAATTCTGGTAAATAAGAGTGAGTAATCTAAATGAACATTCACTCATATAAAGCATAAAGTTCAAAGGATATGTTTTTTCACTAGACAACCTTGTAAAATATAGTTAATAGAATTAATTTCTTTTATTAAAAGATATTGTAAATCATATGGTTAAGAGAATTCCTTTCTTTTAAGAATACCATAAAATATAGTTCCAAAGATTAAACTATTTTACTAAACAATAATACTAACCATGTCACAAAGCATAGTTATATCATTCAAATGTATTGTTAATGTATGATAATAAATTCTGTGAGACTAATTGATCAAATATATAATGATGATAAAAATTAAAAGAACATATGAAGCTATACTATTATATGTTGATGTTATAATAAAAGTTATATTTAGTAAAATTATATATTTTGCGATAAATACAAGCCAGAAAACTTTTATGTTATGGATATCAAAGTTTATATTGCAACAGTTTTATTCTATCTAATGGCAGTTGTTCACCTGTAAACAAATGTGACCATGTCTTTTCTAGTTGCACAGCATTTTCATAAAGTTTTTTGTAATTCTTGTGGCTGGACTTTGCAAGCTTTATTTGCAGATCTTTCACCATTTGTTTACACTCAATTTTCAGAAATATCACAATAGGGTAGAACTGAGCATAATTCAGTCGATCCACAGAAATTGGAGAGATGTCCAGAATAGCATGCTTTCCCTTTAAAAATATAGATCTAATTAGTAAATTTGTCTAGAGTGGTTAGTGGTTTTTAACTAAATCTAAAATTTAGTTGACAGATGATATAAACGTTTTATTTTTATCTAACTTTATAAGAAACTTTGTAATCTACCAAATATTTCTAACTATTGCCTGCACTAATGAAATTTCATTATGTTATCCAAATTGGGATAGTAGATGATATCATCTATTCAGAACAAAATATTTGAATAATTATTAATTAATTAATGTTGACTTCAGATATTATGTTACAGTTGGGTGATCAGAAAGATAAACTCTAAAAGTGAAACAATGGAGAGAAGAAAGCATGAATTCATAGGTAAGAAGATGGTGTTGAACAATTAACCCAGATCTTGCATGTACTTAAAAACATCAGTGTGGAAAGGTAATATCATCCAATCTGAATATGACATATATATATATAATTCAAGGTTAAGGTTAGAGGGTCTAGTTTGTGAAAAGACAGGTGTAATTATTTGTAGTTGTAGTATGAAATATAGAAGGCATGGTGTTGAAGTTGAAGTACAAATATAACATTATTTGTCATAGAAAAAGCTAATTGTTCTGTGGTACAACTGCGAGGTAATTGTGATATATTCTTTAATTTTATTATTATGTTTATATTTTAATACCTCTGCCAATTAGGTTGAGCTGTCTCTAGAGTTTGTTTATGTATTATGTCAACTCACACCCTGTTAAAATTAATTATAACATTGTTCTCACATTAAGACAAAATGACTGATGCTTGGTGGCACTGAGGTCTCTGTCACATACGTCTGGTTATATATAAATGAGTATGTTACCCTACGTAAGTAAATTGATCAGATGCTTTGTAAGTAACCAATAATCTTTCCAATATTGTTGTCTGATAATAAACAAAAAACAACTGAAAGTAACTCCACTAAGGCAAATTTTAGATTAGATATTGCTTGAAACTCAGCTAATGCTTACAAGTTTTGTCAATTATAAATAATCAAAGAGTTTGAAAGTGTTGTATTACTAAGTAGATTTTGTAATAAATTATAAAGTTAAGTTCTTCTTTCTTTTCCTTACTTCTTGTGTCAAGCTTATATTATATTGAGTGCATTAGAATTAAGTGTAAAAAACTGTTACGTCTCTGTTTGTTAGTTAATTTTCCGTATAATTTCTTTCCAAAGAAACTTTAGCAATACAAGTCCTTTCTTAAATAAAACTGGTTTATTTTTTCTAGATAAAACTTTGCATTACACTTAATTTCCACAGTCAAGCTATAACAAAAGCTATAATTCACAACGAAGGACTCACGTGCTCGACTCAATCGTCAATCTCTGTCTGCAGTTCAATTACATTGTTGCTGTCAGTTCTCACCGGTTTTATATATACAAGAATACCGCATATCTAGTAACCTCCTGAGACTTCAGGAAGGGATAGGATCCTTCTAGAAGTTCATGACGTGTTACTAGCGTCACGTGACTTCCGCTGTCGTAACAAAGCAAAGACAATGTTCTTTGGCACAATGAAAGATAACATTTTTCTCAAATATTTCAGCCGATTAGTTTTTGGTAACAAAGTTATAATCATCACAGGTTTCTTTAATTGTGCCCAAAAAATTGAGTTTTTGTTTTTTATTCACTATAATAGAATAATTGAAAAGAAATTATTGAGTTAGAAGTTGGAAATTCTGTTGTGTCATTTGTAAAAGTCCATGCTCAGCATTTTCGAATTGAGATTATATTCTTTTACCTTGTGAAAGGGCTACTAAATACTGTTTTTTTTTAAGAATTGTGGTATTAATGTTTCAATCATATTATCAATCGTAGTGTAAAATAAGATATTAATTACAGAACTATGTAAAATTAACTTATGTAAAGTAAATGAATAACTGTATTAAACTGTACATAATAGATAGAAACTGAATTTTGTTACTTTTTGTGAATAAAAGGGAGAAAAATGGACACGATCACAAAAAAAGCAACTTTTATGACAAGTTTTAGCCTTTTCAAGACAAAAACAGATCTGCTCTCTCCAAAAACATGAATCTACTCGAAAACCACCAAAAC